GCTTGGGGTGCTGACAACTTACTCAACTTGCTGTCAGCTCCCTCCTGCCCCCAGGGGTAGCCAATAATCTTAGGACTCGGAAAGTGGAAGGGTGGGGGGTAGATAGCAGGAATTGTCTGTACAAACAGGTTTAACTCATTATTACAGAAAAACATCTGAATAACAGTTAATCTTCTGTAATGATTAGATTTGGAAAAAAAAAAATAATTCTATGACTAGATGGTTAGGATTTCAATTACACTAGCAATAAATTCTTGACTGCTCGTACAGAGTGCTTCCTTTTGCCCATAAGTTTATGAAGGATGCAACACCTAACTGCTGCCTATATCGTTGTGATGGCTTATAATAATTAACAGATAATCAGTACATGTTCTACAAAATAAAAAATAGCTCTAATTAGTTTGTACTTGTCATGAAGAAGGAAGCTAAGTTGTTTTACTGCCTTCTCAATAAAACCTGCAGCATTGACTTCTAAACAAAAGTTTAAGCATGTGAATTCCAGGTGATGTTTGTAAATTTTTTCATGTCAAGAAAGTTTTAAAAAACAAAAACAAAACAAACAAACAAAAAAAAAAAACAGAACAAACAAACAATACTGTACTCACTTCTAAAACCCATTAACCTTCTTCAGTAGAATACTTAAATACGTGTATTCCATTTTCTTTCTGGGAATTTACTGTACGCTGTACCAGAGCTACGTCCTGAGGGATGCAGGGACACAGCGAGCACTTGACATTTAATGAATTAGTGGGTACAGAAAGCAGAATAAAGCTGTATTACACAGGGATAACACAGTTTAACTTATCCTTTTCATTAATATCCTGCAAGTTGCAGCAGATTTATGGTGGGCAATAATAAACTGAACAGTCCTAGCTACCCTTTACTGTAGGGGGTAAAGATACCTCTCAAATGTTGAAGCACAATCTAGAAGGGATTACAGCAAAGGAAAAGAAGCAACGCACTGACTGTGAACGTTGCTATTTAATCCCACGTACACAAACAATTCTCACTCTGTGGCAAAAACTGCTCACTAATGCTTTAGTGAGTAGCCCAATTAGAATGGCAATTCACCCATCAGTGAAATCTGCTGAGTTCTAAGGGTTTATTCTGTCAAGAACTGGAGTAACATGGATCAGTCATTATGATAGCACAAAATCAGATCCTTAACCTCATTCTTGTGGTATATCAAGATTAAAATTGCCTCTTGTATGTGTTTAATTTTTAAACTATGCAGGGAAAAATGTGCCTGACAGAGCTGGTACTGATATTTACCAGTGTAGTGGGTTTATGTGGCAAGGTTTTGGTAGCAGGGGGCCATAGGGGTGGTTTCTGTGAGAAGGATCTAGAAGCTGCCCCATGTTTGGTAAGGGCCCCACTGTTTTCCAGATCTGAGCCAATAAGCGATGTTGTTTTGTGCCTCTGTGAGAGCATATTTAAGACAGGGAAAAAAACGCTGCGCCACACAGCAGCTGGGAGAGTGAAAGGAGTGAGGAACAGCCTTGCAGGCACCAAGGTCAGTGAAGAAGGAGGGGGAGAGGTGCTCCAGGCACCAGAGCAGAAGTCCCCTGCGGCCTGGCTAGGGAGGTGATCGTCCCCCTGTACTCGGCTCTGGTGAGGCCGCACCTCGAGTACTGTGTTCAGTTTTGGGCCCCTCGCTACAAGAAGGACATGGAGGTGCTTGAGCGGGTCCAAAGAAGGGCGACGAAGCTGGTGAGGGGCCTGGAGAGCAAGTCCTATGAGGAGCGGCTGAAGGAGCTGGGCTTGTTCAGCCTAGAGAAGAGGAGGCTCAGGGGTGACCTTATTGCTCTGTATAAGTACATTAAAGGAGGCTGTAGAGAGGTGGGGGTTGGCCTGTTCTCCCATGTGCCTGGTGACAGGACGAGGGGGAATGGGCTAAAGTTACGCCAGGGGAGTTTTAGGTTAGATGTTAGGAAGAATTTCTTTACTGAAAGGGTTGTTAGGCACTGGAACGGGCTGCCCAGGGAAATGGTGGAGTCACCATCCCTGGAAGTCTTCAAAAGACGTTTAGATGTAGAGCTTAGGGATATGGTTTAGTGGGGACTGTTAGTGTTAGGTCAGAGGTTGGACTCGATGATCTTGAGGTCTCTTCCAACCTAGAAATTCTGTGATTCTGTGGTGAGGACCATGGTGAAGCAGGATGTCCCCCTGCAGCCCATGGAGTACCACGGTGGAGCAGGGTTTCACGCTGTAGCCCGTGGAGGAGACCACGGTGGAGCAGGTGGCCCTGCACCGATGGAGGCTGCCGCCTGTGGAAGACCCCTGCTGGAGCAGATTCCGGGCCGGACCTGTAGCCCGTGGAGAGGAGCCCATGCAGGAACAGGTGATCTGGCAGGAGCTGCTGCCCGTGGGGGAGCCAGGTTGGAGCAGTTTTCTCCTGAGGGATGGACCCTGTGGTATGGGCCCGTATCTGGAGCAGTTCTGGAAGAGCTGCTGCCTGTGGGAAGCACGCGCCAGATCAGTTCATCAAGGACTATCCCATGGGTGGGACCCCACAGCACAGGGGATGAGAGTGACCGAGAAGGAGCGGCAGAGAAGCGCTGTAGACTGACCATAACCCCCGTTCCCCTGCGCCGCTCGGGGGGAGGAGGTGGAAGAGGGTGGATGGGGGGGAAGGTGCTTTTAGTTTCTTTCCTTTGTTTCTCACTTCTCTAGCTTGTTAGTAATAAGCAATAAATCTTACTATCTCCCTATGCAGAGTCTGTTTTGCAGGCATTACAATAATTACTGCGTGATCTTCTTGTCCTTATCTCAACCTTTGAGCCCTTTTCACATATTTTCTCCCCATTTCTCTTTGAGGAGGGGGAGGGAGAGAGCGACTGTGGTGGAGCTCGGCTGCCCACTCAAGCGGAACCATGACAGACAGTTGTCACATATATATGTTAACATATATATAGCTATGGAAAAATAAGTTTATTTTGGCTTTATGGTACAGGTCTACTAAATGACAAAATAATTGAGCATAATTAAATCCAATTCTTTCAACTTGCTGGTTGAGCTGGTTTTATCACAAACCTCAATGCATATATACTGCACAATGTATGTATATCCTTTATTTGATCGTGTGTTGTTTTTTTTTTTTGCTCCTGAACTACCACTGAACGAGGTTGTTCTCTCTTTAACACCTGCAATAGGAGGTATGCTATTAAACTCTAATATGATGTTGGCACTCTACCAAGTTCAACATGCTGTATAGGAGGAAAGCTAGTTCAAAAATCTAAAGTAAAGAAGACTCTAGAGTTACAGTTCCTGTAGCTATTGAGACAATTTAGGATAGTGTGAACTTGATTTGCACAGGTATGCCAATGGGAAAAGAAATTCAGACTGGGGGATTTTATAGGGAAGGTTGTTATGTAGATGAAATAATTTTTCAAAGAATGCCTTTTAATTCTATCTTGGATTTCTTTCCACAATTTAAAAACTTCGTACCAATATTTTTTTCCCTTAAATTATAAAGGAAACACTTTGGTGTCCCAGACTTGTTTTTGCAGGCCAATTATATCTCTTTGGTGATGTGACTTCAGAGTTGCTGAGAAGCTCCTATTGCTCTGGAGAGCAAGGAAGATGCCCAGTGTAATGGCCCGACGGAGACTGTCATTTTACTCCTGACTGTTTAAGGAGTCTTGTTCACTAACAGGCCACACGCATAGCTGTTGCACACAAACTGTTGGCTTTCTGCTGTGCAGTTGGCAGATTCCTGGGAGGCACTGTGGAATCCATAGCACTATATCCTAGACAATTATTATATGGCATGCTGCTACAAGCTCTTCTGATATACCACAAGGTAATTTGTGTTAATGAATGTCAGAATTGTAGATGGTCTGCTGCTGAGCATTTTACAGACCACATGTAGAGAACTGCAGCAATTGGCATGCATTTGTCTCCCTTGTCAACTAAGAGTGTTGTATTCTAACTTATACCTAATCAACTTTTTTTTCGTCTTGCATAGCAGTGAACCACACACTGCATTTAATCAGGAATATTGCTTGCAGTGAGAGCGTCAAATTCTAGTCCATGTGCCATTCTGTAGTACATTTGACTTCATCAGATTATGATTCTTAGCTAATTATTCCTGGGGTGAAGTAAGAGGCCTTTGCCCCTCTGATAATATTGCAGACAAGGTGAAATACATGTAAAAGGTGTTTTGTAACAACAAATACAACAGTAATTAGTAAATAGTTGAAATAATCAGTATTGTTCAGACCTCTTGTCTACAGGGTAATTTCATATCAGTAATTGGCTTTTTTTCTAGCAGTTCTCTGATATATCATTGAAGGGATTGTCTTCCTTGCTCTTTGTATAGAAATCCTCCAATATAGAGGAATTCGTGAACTATTGAGTTCGTAAAGGTGTTTTCCATTACAGGTTTTAGTCAAAATCTAATTCGTTCATCTATGTCAATAGCTTTTGCCCCATGATCTTCAGGAGTTCGTGGACTAGCACAGATACATGAAAAGCAATTTAAAAAAGTAAACCTGTGTGTATGAGGCCTGTATTTGTAATACAGCATCTGTGCTGTCAGTGACTGTTTTACTTTGGAGACTTAAAGGAAAAGAAGGAAAAAGGTTAAACTAGCTTACTGAAGAGATATGAAGACACAAGCTTTCCCACTATCTAAAAGTTGGAACAACAGAAGAAATAAATATGTAACTTCAGAAGAGGTTACCAAATAACAACCTGAGGTATGTAAGCACAGAGTAAAAATGCTGTAAAAACTCCTATCGATAAAAGCAGGAAGTTTTTGTTTCTTTTCATTTGTTTTGTAATATATACTATAGATATGGATTTCTAATGGGTTCTCCATAAAAACACACAAGGTATTTTCCAGTCTGAAGAACTAATTTCTCCGTTAACCATGTAGCATATGTTCAAATTGCTATTTCCATTCTGCTCTGTACAGTCTAACAACATGTCCATACTTCAGGAGTAAAGTCGAATTCCGGATCAAATGTAAGTTGGAAAATATTATTTCAATTTTACAGAAGGAGACCAGACAGAGGATGATTAAGTGACTTGCCAAAATTCACACTACAGAGCAGAACAGCAAACTGAACTGCAATGGTAAGTTCTTCAAATGCTAGCTTTATAAAACACGGAGGATGTCCATCATCAAGTGTACCCAAAAAGCCTGAGCATTCATAGTGATTGATTGCATTAAACACTGCCTGCTGTGGTCACAGTGGACTTCTCTGATTTATATCATTTTAGGATCTGCTCTGTGTTCTAGAAAGTATTTAGTAGAAACACGAGCTTGTAAACTTCATCCCTCTTTTGGAAAAAAAGTATTGTGAAAGTCCCTTACAGAATTATTTGTTTGCTTCTGAATAGTGCGGTGAGGTCACTTTTTACTTGAGCTTTGCAGGAATATACCAGATATTGAAAGTCTATGGAACAGAAAATTTATTTCTGAACTTGTTTCATTATGATTCTTGGAAAAGATAGTGCTGATTCAATACAAATCCTCAATTTCAATAAAACTGTTTTTTAAATGTATAACTTCTGTAAAAAATATATTCTCAAAATTACATTAAAACAAAAGTCTTAATTTATAACGATACCAAGAGATAATTAAGCTTGTTTCCAAGTTCAGTTTGTCAAAATCAGTACATTGCTGCAGAATGCTTTTATTTTCATGAAATTATGTTTTCTGACAAGAAGAGATGCCATTTGAAGGCTTTTGACCATCTCATGTTGTTTCTCAGTGTACCTATTGTGAAACCAAGGCACTGAGGAATAGTTCTTGACTTCTTTTAATATTTGCTGATATGGGAGAAGTCATTAAATGCTAAGGCTAAAGCTAGTGCTGTAGAGGCATTGTCCAATTAATATAATTATTAGGTTTTCAGTGCTGTTAGTTTTAATAGCTTCTGAAACTGCAAATCAGCTTCTGTTCTTGCTGTCATGCATATCACCAGCAGATGTAGTGTTAGTGCCATAGGCACAGGCCAGATAATCCTGAATTTGGAAAGCAAAGAATGTCATGTAATTATTTTGCAGCCTAACATAATGTGGCCTGTTTGGGAGCCAAAAATATGCAAGTACATCTTTTCTGTTGATGTTTTACAATAAAATTGTCAGCCAGATAGCATTAGGGTGAGGGAGGTAGAGCACCATACAGAATGTATGTGCACTGTAGTGACAACCCACAATACAACTCACAGATATAACACAGAGGAGCAGAAAATAGCTCTGTGAAGTAGATACAGTAAGTCAATGGTGTTAATCCACAACTGAATAATGAACAATAACTTTATCCATCCCATCAATCTTCCAGCAATATAAAGAAGGCAAAGAGCTTCCTGAAGGTTAGGAGTGGAAGAGGCCTTCCCTTTTAGAGGAATTCCAACTGGCATTAGCACACGTGAATTCAAAACTCTTTGGAAGATGATTACAAGTACCAATCTTAATATTTACAGGCTGAGGTTATTGTCTCATTGAGTCTTTCCTTCTTGCTCCTACTCTTTATCCACACATTTACTTCTGCTATACCGTTACCATGACTTTCCAATTTCTCAGCCTTCTCCCCAGCCTGGTTCTTATGTTCTGCTTGTTTCCAGTTTTCTCTTGCAAGGCCCAGTCTCATCACCACACTGTATATCTGCTGTATATTGTCTGTGTCTTACTGGTTTGTGCATAACTAGTTCAGGAGTTTTTTTAGAGGCTACTTTTAAGTAAAGACCATATTTAAATAGGCGCAGAAATCTGACTTTCATGGACCACATCTTGACTTCCTATGTTTCTTCCACACTGTTTTTCTGGATCCTCTCTTGGTATCAAGGATAAGTTTAAATACCTACTTTTTTTTTTTAATGGAATATATTTGTTCTTTTATACTCAGAACCAAACTTTCAAGTCCTGTGCTGAAGGAACAGGGTAGTATAGCAGTTCTTATAAAAATGATGGAGAGATTCCAGATGAATGTCCAACACCATTATTCTGAATCTTACTTGTTTTTTCATTTCAATTAAAAGAAACTTAAAAGCTATTGTGCACTGATATGATGTTGATAATGCTAATGACAAGCACTATTATACTAGCTGCCTCAGGGTTATTTTGCAATCATGAACAAGAGAAAGTGATAAGAAATGGCAAGAAAAATGTTTCAGGAAACAATTTTTCTGAGATGTCTTCTGAGTTCTGAAAAAAAAATCGAATTTTTCTGATTGGCATGTATACTCAAGTATGGGTCAGATGTAACCCTTTTTTAAAAAAAAAAAAAAATAATTCTGAGGCGTTTCCATCTTACCAACAGTAATACAAGATGACTGATGATGATTGGTCATGCTAGCTTGTATCAGAGCCCAGAATACAGACCTTTTTATTGCCCTGTCTTATTCTTCATACAGTACAGTTTAACAAAAAATTATAAAGAGAGAACCTAAAAATCAATTGTACAAAATAACAATTCTGTTGTAATGAGATAAAGTCAATGCATGCAGGTTGGCACAAAATAACTTGCTACTCTGCTATTGAATTTTATTTCACATCTCTGTGCTATGAAATAAAAGTTCTTAACACATTTTTGATATACAAAACATGTAAAAAAAAAAACAAACAACAACAACTAATTTCTTCTTACCTGTGAAGAGTGGTGGATTATGCATTACAAATCAATACTAGAGTTCAGATGTTGTTACAGAACCACTCAAGCTAGACTTTTTTGGTTAATGATATCATCTGGAAATCTGCAATGATTAAGAACATAGTAATCCATTCTTCCTCATTCATTACATAATAGATAATAACCACATATTTCATTACATTTGATTACATTACAAGCAATATGCTCAAGCTTATAATGTATACAGAAAGCAGCAAAAAGCTTTTTGAATGTAATTAAGGTGTGAAAAGTAGTTCTGTTTAACAAAAAAAAATATTTTATTCATAAGTTCTGGCATTTCTGGTAAAGAAAGGAAAGGAAAACCAACATCCTGCCAATAAAATGAAGAATAAATAAATGACAATATGTAATAAAGAAAAATAACACAGAAACAAATGGGCTGCTTTTACCGTTTATTTCACCTTATTTTTCATCTTAGTGCAGAAAATTTTATGTTAGCTCATGGTAAGTAGCCGACTGATTCACTAGCACTGTTTTGGCTTTATTTCCCAATGTTTTTCTGAAGTGTGATATAGTAGTTTGTATCTGGTTTTCTCTACTTGTTATGCAAATTATTAACAGTTCTCCTACAACAGAGGAGAGAGCAAGTCCTGAGAGCTACACATGGCCATAGCTTCTTGATAAACAATTCCCTTGGTATTCACACATTCGAGACATCTGTCTGGCTTTGTCTGCAGTTCTCAAAGAGGCAATATCACAGTGCAGTGTCAAGGGAAAAACAAAATGTGAGACTTTAAACAAAAATAACTGGAAAATGCTGGGAAATAGTTGAAACTCCTTAGTTGGTGTTAATATTTAAAAGGGTGTTCATTTATCTCAAGGCTCTTCTGCTATATTATGTCCACACATAACAACAGTGTTTTTATTAGCTTGTCTCTGCATTAGTCACTCTTCTCACAAGGCTTAAGCTACAAACTCCTAGAGTTCTTAAGAATCAAGGGATTTTTTTTTTTTTTTTTTTTTTTTTTTTAAGATTCTCTTAAATGGAGTAGTGTTGTAGTATCTGGTATTTGGTGGCTGAGCAGGTGGGGGTTGGAGTTCACCGTTGATGGCTGAACCTAAGGACACTGAAGTTTTCTGTGGGGCAGATGAAAAACAAGGCTGTCTGCTATGTTTGAACAAGGTTATTCCATTAGTTTGAGACCATTGTGCTATTGCTTTAAAAAAAAAAAAATGGTTTGACAGGGATTTACTGGCTATAATGATATTTTAACTGGAAATGAACACAATAACATGCCTTTCATAGAAAATACAGATCAAGCTCTGGCATCTGTCATTTGTATATGTAATACTTATATTGTATGTGTCGTCATAGTATCTAAGTATTGTTCAAGGATAGAAGTTATGTCAAAACCAGGGGCATTTTAACAACTCAGTACTAGTTTACTATCTCAACAAAGCTGGATGATGAAGGAGAGGAAAGTTCTCAATGAATATAGTCCATACATCATAGCCAGAATCCTTGAAATGTATTTGACAGATAGCAGGAACCTGTGTAGTAGTAGAGCCCTGGTATAATGCATTTGTATGCTGCTTCTCCTGAAGAATAAGATTTCAAAACAGAAAGGTTTTGAGATGTAAAAACATTTTTAGCTAATTAATACACAGGTTAACCATAATCTGTAGTAAATTTGAAAGGTTGTTTGTAGTTGTAGGAAAATATATTACAAACCATTACAATTCTCTTGTATATTTTCTTATTTTTATTACTTTTACCTGAGAGGGATCTGAAGTTTTATGTCAACTGTGCATAACTGGGTAACGTCTTGTTCAGTCTCAGGCAAAGACAGCTCTTAGTCATGGAATACAGTTGTTGTTATGTTCTTGGTTTTTATTAAGAGGATTCAGTGTAGACCATAAGGTTCAGAAGGGAAAGCTCACTAGCATTTTAAAATGAGTAGTATTGTACCCTGGTAGGGTATATGGAGCTATTCTGCAAATCACATATCTTAGTTTCAAAATGTTACATGTGCATATTTGAAGTAAGAGCTGTGATAGCACTGAACCCTGAAAGATCTTGTTTGTCATTGGGAGGATGTGCTTAGGGTGCAGAAGTTGCCTATCATTAATTTTTGGGACTATTTCAAAAGGAATGATTGATGGCAAGCTCAGTGTTAGCCAGAACACATTATGTATGCCACATTCAGCAATATCCTACATGGATGTCTGGGTTTTTTGCTCCAAGGTCACACTGGTAGCCAGTCTGCTTCAGCCGATGGACAGAGTTAAGCTAACAAACCATAACAGTGTTAGACAAAAAGTCTGAAGCCAAGCTGGGAAAGACAAAGAATTTCTCAGAAATTATATATTGTTGGTAAGAGGCTGAAATTTTCATCCAAGGAGTCCAAACAGAAAGAAAAAAAAAAGTTTTAGAGTTAGGTAGGTTCAGAGGAGGAGGTTTTTTACATTCCTTCAGAGAGTGGGTGTATCTATGTGGTCATCTGAGTTTGAATCTTTTGAAGCAAATTTATCTACTGCAAAAAGTTCATGTCATGGAACAGTCCCTAAGGGCAGGAAAGCATGAACTGGGATTAGTTGAGATGAAGCCGTGGCAGCAGATACACTCCAGGAGCGCCTGGTGTGTTCCAGCTGTTAATAGACATACAGTCCATGAAACAGAATAGGGCTAAAATAAAACCTCCTGGAGCACAAATACTATTGTTGTCTCATTGTCAGCACAGTTCTTTTGCTCCTCAGGTCTGCTTCATTTGGGCTGCACTACTCACTGGCATAAACATAGCTATTTACTATTTCTGCATATGATAGTAGTTAATTTCTGTGCACGTTCACTAATGTGCATGCTTAATAGCTGGCAAAAGTAGTTGCTACAAGTAATTGAAAATCTTACAGATCTGCTTGTATGGACAGTGCAATTACCTTTCCCAATGACTTTCAATGTTTTCTAATAGTGGGACTGGTTGAAGGCCTTCTTGCAAGTGATGCAAGAAGTTCTCAGGGTTTTGAGAATCTCCTTGTGACAGATCCCCAAACTGCCCATAGTTTTGCCTGCAGCTTCTCCTTAGAGCATGCTTTTCTCCAATTGCACTTTTAGATTGACAGTGTTACATGAATGGCTTTCCTGGGTTGTGAGAGAATCCCTTCAGAGTCCTAAGCAAATCTTTTCCTTTCTGTCATGCAAGACGTGACTGTGCGCTGGCTCTCAGAAACCTCCTCGGCTTTTAATACATTCATGACTCCCATGTGCTAACAACTAGTTCTCACTCTGCCTGTGCTTAAATGCAACAAAGAGAAGCAGCTAGTAGAGATGTAACAGTTGTCACGGCACTTTCTAGACTTCTTCTTCAGGGAATTTCTTCCATATGCTTCTTCCACAGGGATCGTCTTCTCTAGGGGAACTTCTGGCAGCTTGCTGCTGCAGGTGAGAGTTGGCTTCTGGAGGCTTTTGCTTCTCTAAGCTCTGTAACTTGGCTTGTATTGGCAGTTAGTGGATTTGGGGATGCCTACACTTTTTTTTTTTTCTAACTGGCTGCTACTCAGGGGCTGTCAAACACTTAGCTGGTGTGTGGGGAGCAACTATAACCTGTGGGAAGGAGTGTGGATGTGGAGTGCTGCAGTTGCTGCAGCTGTTAGTGCAAAGGGGCCCAGAAACTCTGCTGAAGACTGCTCGAGACTGCTGATCTATGGTGTCAGCTTGCTACCAGGCAGTCTCCAGCACCATCTGGAGCTGTTCTAAGGCAATTTGTTTTGATGTCTGGACCCTGAGGGAGCTCTGGGGTGAGGATGTAGCCTTCAGCTGCTGGTAGTGCCTGGTACCCCTCCTTGGGGTTGGAGGCTAAGGGTGTCCCCACCTTTGGGAGGTAGGCTCTGAGGTACTGACCAACTGGGTGAAGGAGCTGGGAGAGAAAGATGAACAAACTGAATTGCATCTCAGTGGATGAACAGAACACTGTCTTTAGAGAGAGAAAGCAGAAACAGAAGCCAAAGCCCTGTGATGGTAGGAAGGAAGGACAGCTGGTGACTGTGCTGAGAGGAGGGGTGGATGAACTACTGTGGAGAGGAAGGCTGGAAATGTGTGACTTCTGGCAGCAGGAGGAAGGCTTCTTCTCTTCCTGTAGAGTTGTAATTATAGAATGGGCACAATGCCCTGGGAACAGGCAAGGAGGGACAGGAACAGTCAGGGCAGTCATCAGAGCTATCTGAGTCTGAAGTGGGGGTTCTGAATGAGGAGGAGTCAGTGGGTGCTAGGTGTCAGGGCCAACTTTCTATGGGGGGTGGATGCATGTGTCAGCTGACATGGCTTGATATCTCAGATTTGCTGCTTGACTCAGACCCAGAATATTGAAGGCTTATCCAGCTCTTAAACTACTTTGTCTTGGTGCTCATCAATGTGAGCATCAGTGATACTGCCAGGGAGTTAAGTGCCTTAAGAGTGATGATGTAGGTGTGAGGGTGCAGGTTATGGAGGGCCAAATGTTGTCTCCTTGATATTGACAAGAAAGGCAAAAGGTTTATGTGGAAGAAATTTCATCCAGTGGGTCAGTAACTGTCTGTGAGGCTAGTGTCATAGGCAGGACTTTGGCTCCTTAATAACATTCTTACTTTAAGAGTGGGGATTGCTGTGAAGGAGTAAGAGCCACCTTGTAAAGTGGGGTAATAGTGCCATTTTAAGGCTACCTAACATTGTTAGGCAGGCCTTAAGCTGGTATGTTGGGAGATGGTTTTCACAACCAGAAGAGAAATGGTAGCAAGGGGCGGAAAGGAAGTGTCTGGATTAGAGCATGGTAGGGACAGCCTCGCACTGTGTTCATAAAAACAGTGTGATTGCTGCTCAATCTTGAATTCCTGTGCACAAACATGCAGCATGGTAAACAAGCAGAAGGCTTTAGAAACCTGTCACAGCTTAATGAAGATGTGTTGGGACAGCTTGTAGGGCTAAAGTGCTGCCCTAGTGGACTGATACTGTGTTTTGGCTAAGACAGGCTTGGAAGGTGAGGAAGCATAGTTGTGCTCTGCTACGAGGAGATCTCAAACATCTGCCTGGGGACAAGTAATAAGCCAGTTGAGAACCTACAGAAAAATTCAGAGGACAGAACAATGCAGATGACATTTCACAGGCGTCTGCTGCAGACCATCTGATCAGGAAGAGGATGCAGGTGAAGCTTTCTTTAGACAGCTGAAGAAAGCCCCATGATCACAGCTCCTTGTACTCCCCTTTAACCCACCAATATCTGCTGCAATAGGTCTGGGCACAAGCAATCCAGGAGACTTAGGAGTGCATTGAGGGCAATTTCTTGATGTGGGTGATGGATGAGCCAACTAGGGGAGATACTCTGATGGATGTATTAATAGCAAACAGATGTTGGTCAAAGATACATAGGTCAAAGACAGCCTTGG